GCCGCATCACATATGATATTTTTTCCTGCATTTTTCTCGTATTTATTTAATTTTTATGATATTTTCATTATTTATAATTTTTTGTTTTTATTTATTTATGATGTCATGGGTCAAACTGTTCCACCTTGACGGTTGAACCGTTGAACCAGAAAATAGTGGCCAGAATGGTTCTATTTTCGATATAGTTTTCAAAACCTTTTGTGGACTCTCTAAATTGACATTCATGTGTTTGGCCTAGAAATATATGGTGATGTTTGACATCCATGATGATTTCTTGAAAAGTACTGCCATGTTAGAGCCATGTTGGTGTTAGAGGAATTGGCACTAAAATTTCTGTTTGGTTGGATCACCTTATCTAGTGATTTCTTGATTTCTAGTTGATTCTGATTTTTTGAAGATGACATGACATCCAACATGGCATTGAATAATAACTCTATTACAAAAAATAATCGGCCCTTGAGAATCAGTATCAAACAGACTCAAAGCAGATTTATCAGAAATTGACTTACATGACATAAATGATACCAAATAGCCAAATTTACTTGAAAAAAATACTTATTTAAAAAATCACTGGTGAAAAATAGTTAAGGAAGAATAGGCATTGATGCCAGAGATCACCATAATTGTTGGATAGATCAATTTTATGTGCCCAAAATGGCTTCAGCTCGGTTCTGTATAAATATTCTACGGAATTGTAATATGGATGTTCACACCCTAGCACATAAAGATAAGGAATTGTAAATTCCTTTTGTTAGTTTAGTGTTATTTTATCTATTAAAAGTGCCCTTTTTTTTCTAAAAGGCAAATTGTGAATAATATTTTATACTCATGAAATGTTTTATTCAATGATTAAAAAAAAGGAAAATGTAAAGTCATGGCATGTAAATAGACATAGAAAAGCATATGGTAGGTTGGAATTGATTTTCATTGAGAAGATTTTAAGGTAAATTGGGTTAAGAAAAATTGGATTTAATGAGAAATAGATAAAGTTAGCAATGGAGTATGCCTCCATATCCTTTCAGATTTTAAATGTTTTCCTTATAGACCCATCAAACCTTTGAGAGGATTTCGTGAAGGAGATCGTTATAGCCTTTTGTTGTTTGTAGTGAAGCTTTGAGAGCGAATCAAAGATCAAGAATGATAAACTTAAATACAAAGCTTTGACGGAAGACCCAAGCATTTTCATTTTGCAATTTGTGGATGATTGTCTAATGCCTTAGTTTTAATAAATGCCATTAAAGTCAAAGAGATTTTGGGGTGATTTGTTAGGGCTTAAGGGCAGAATCATAGTCTCTCCAAATTGAATATTGTGTTTAAAAAATATCTTTAGAAAGCTAAGTATAATCATTTTCAAAATTCTTAAAATCCTATTGGTTAGGAAAAGAGAATTATGTTGGTGCTCCTATTATTGATGGGGTTAACAAGGAGATGTTCAAGAAGGGTGAGGAGAGAATTAATTAGTGGCAAGCTTAATGGATGGAAGCAGAAGACTGTTTAGCAGGTAGTGCAACTTTTTTTAAGGAAGAATTTGTCCTTGTCCCATAGTGGCTTATGAGGTCATTCAAATTCCCAAAGGCCACAATTTAAAAAATAGAGAAGTTTCATAGGAAAAGAAATCTTTGCCTTTGGGGTAAGTGGAATAAATTGTGTAGTGGCTGTAGACCAATTTCTTTTAGTGGATGGGGTTTAAAGAAAATGGAATGAGTCAACTTGGTGCGTTTGGCTAGATTGTGATGGAAAGTGCCAAGGCTCCTACCCTTGCATATAGAGAGATTATTTCCAACCTTTGAATTGATGCGTCCAAGTTGTCACAAACAAATATATATCAAAATAGCAATTTCTAGTCTAGGATGTTATTAAGCAAAAAAGGGAATGGGCGTGGAGGGGTATTCTCCAACCAAAATAATTGGTCTGTGGAATAMTGGAAATCAAGGTTCAAATTATTAATACATATCGGCCCGTATCGGTCGATATGTATTGTTCCGGGACCCCTCCAATATGTCCCTACAGTGGGTGTATCAGAGGTCTGACCGGTTTAGAGGGTAGAGGAGACCTAAACTGATCCCCCTGAACCGGTTGTGAAAAAAAATAAAAAAAAAAATGCAATAAAAATGTGTATCGATTTGCCCAATACACCCCTATCGATGTATCAGGCATATTGATATTTTGAACCTTGCTGGAAATGGAAAACCTATGAACCTTTGAAATATGATATATTGATAGGTAATAGACCCTTCACTTCCCAGCTGGATCTAAAAGTTAAGGATGCCGGCAGTTAACTCAAAAGAATGGGATCGTAACAAAATTGTCAATCACCAAAATCAAAACTACTGTGACTCCCATGGAAAACTTAGTATGAAACCGGCTATGTTTGGTTTGAAGAAAAATGTAGGGAAATGAAGGAAAAGATAGAGAAACCTTTACAACCCTTGTATTGGTTTTCTTGTCTTTCACTTCCTTTCCCTATTTTTTCCTTTAAACCAAACATGAAGGTAAAATTCTTCCTACTCATGCTATTCAACAACAGACTCCCCTCCAAAATTCTTCTTATAAATAATGGCAACGAGCTTTGATATCGACTATCTTTGGGAAATCAGAGGACACAAATCACATTTGAAAATTATGAGATTGCTAAGCAGATATGGTTGATTCTCCACCCAGTTATCCCACGTCCCAGGAAGAGGATGCAACCATGTTTCATTGATGGGATAGGGTGTGTAAGTTGAACATGGAGATCAGTTGAGAGAAATACGGCTGCAATTCTTTGGCAAATTTGGAGAAACAGAAATAACAAACCATTTAAAGATATCAAGGGGTGTCAATTGAACCAGATTTGGTCAAATCTGGTCTGGTCTATTATAGATGGACCAGGTCCAACCCAATCCGATGGATACTTTGGACCGTTTTGGACTAGTCCAATTCAATGTCTGGACCGGCCAATCTGTTCGAATTGGTTTTAGTTTAGATTGGTTCCAAACCCAAACCTGGTCCATTGACACCTGCATTCTTTTCTATCAATGGAGTGAATGGATCAGATATTGGTTCAATTCGACCCAATTGGCCAATCCATTATGAATTGATTAGGTCCAATCCAATAAATATTTTGGACCATTAAATCTAGAATGATCCAATTTAATGTTTTATTTGTCCATCCAATCCGTCTAAAATGATTTTGATTGAGACGAATCCAACCCAAAACCAACCCATTGACACCCCTAAAGATATCTTTCTTTCCCCGGAAAAAGCTAAAATCTCAGTTATAGAATTCAATTCAACCAATCTTTGATAGGTTGCACCAAAGAAGTTTGTGGGTGAAATGGAGAGCCCCAAACAAGATATACATAAGGTTAACTTTGATGCGTTAAGAAAATTGGACGGAGGTTGTGCAATTGGATGAAAAAGAAAAAACTAAAGCTAAAGCACGTGAAGATGTCCTTGATATGTTTGATCGAAGTCTAAGAAACTAGACAGTTGTAACAGCATAAAGTGAAAAAACTGATCCAATCTAAACCCAATCCAAGCCCAAACTGAACCCAAAACAACTTGAAAAAAGTCATGTTAGCATCACCGCCATGCAAAAATTGCGTATTATGCTGCTCAAACTTCAAAAGGACGGCTGTACATGTTTATTTTCAGTGTAAATACAGACTGGTGTAAAACTTTACGTCCGGTATTATCACTCTTTAACCTCATCAATGCATTCTTACATTGATAACAGTTTATACTGAAAACAAACGCAGTCTTAATAGTGAAAAAAATATTAAAAAAAAAAACTAAAGTTCTGGAAATTGAGTTAAAGACATCTTTACGAAGGGTATCCTTTAAAATGAAATGACCAAACTCACTTTAGTGAGTTCGGATTTCCTCCTCGCGGATTTGCTCTTTACATAGGGTGCTTCACACCGACCTCACATACATATCCTATCATGCATTGGGAACATCTCCCATACTTATATATATATATATATATGTGTGTATATATTTAAAAAAAAAAACTATTATAGACCTTACTTCTCATGCCATTTTTCCATAAACCCAGATTCCATCTAAAAGAAAATTCCTGGCTTTTGCCATTGGTTGCACACAAGGTTTCAAAAATCAAACCAAACATTAAACTGTTTTGGGGACCTGTTCCTAGGTCAAATGGTTTGACCATTAGGTTCGAATGGACAACCCGTTTTGATTTAAAAAATAATTAAAATAAAAAATGGTAAAAAAAATGTTGTTTAGGTTGACGATTCAATTGCCCGAGTCAGTGGATTATTGACCAAATCAACGGTTTTTGGCCCAAGAACGGTTTTGGAGTGAAATAGAACCAATTGCCTAACCGTTTTTTGGGCCAACCTATCCGATCGTCTGGTCTGCTCCAATTTTCAAAACCATGGTTGCACATAAACATCTCCTATCCTTCAATCATTGTATGTTTTCATTCACGAGGAGATGTTCCTAATGCACCGTAACAGATTTTGTGAGATGGGTGTGAGAAGGAAATTCAGGTTCTTATCTAGCATATCAATGACAATTCAATACGATACAGTACGCTTGAAACACTTTGAACCGAGTCCAGATCACCTGCCAATAAAACATGTTCCAACTTCCAACCCTCTATCAACATAAATCTCATACAGCACAACTCATACATGGCAAGTCACACTTTATGGTGGGTCCCAGTCTCATAGTAAGATGTGCGGTGTTAGATCAAGTTGGTAGAGGGAACATGTTTTGTTGGTAGAAGATCTCTCAACTCCTTTTGACCTTGGTTTGGACCGTTGGGTTGGGGGTTAAGGTTGGGCTCAACCTAACCTGACCCGGCCCGACTTGCATCCCTGACATAACGTGGTCATGCCAGCCAGGACTAAGACGTCATTTGTGGAGATTAAAGTGCATTTTCGTGAAAAAATAAATAAATAACGTGGCAATTAACCCATAAAACTAGTTAAAATGACAGCAGTGCCACTTCTCGGTCTTCTCCCTTTCCATCAAGTGATTCTCTGGTCTGTGCTCTCTGCGCTCTACTCTCTTCTGTTTCTCTCCGCAAATCATTCACTTTGTCAAAAAATCAGGCAGAGAGAGAGAGAGCGAGAGAGAGTTTTATTTCTTTCCTCACTATTATTATTATTATTTTTATTTTGTGGCGATTTTTTCTTTCAGAAAAAACATTACTGAGAAATATATCAGTCGACTTAAATCTGCAATTTTTAATTTTTGGACGTTGGAGATGAAGGTGGTGGGCTTAGTAAGTGGCGGGAAGGATAGCTGCTATGCCATGATGAAATGCATGGAATACGGTCATGAGGTCTTGTTCTTCTTTATCTCCTGTATAACGTCTTCTTCTGCTTCCACTTTGTTTTTGATAATCTCATCCATCTTCCATGTTAGTTTCTTTTATTTTCCTAAAAAGGGGCTTCTTTGGGTGCATATAGATCGTAGCGTTGGCGAACTTGATGCCGATAGAGGATTCAGTTGATGAACTGGATAGCTACATGTATCAAACTGTAAGTTTTATGTTTCTTCTCCCTCTTTCTTTAAGTTATTTGCATTTACTTTTAAACCGTCGACGTGTTGTAGAAGTTATTTTATTTGGAACTAAATATGGATTTGAAATGCGTGAACTAGATAAAAAAAACATTTTGGACAAATAAGAATTTGGGGTTTTACATAGAGTATAAATCGGTTTTGAGTTTTCCCGATTTCTAAATTGAGAGAAGGGCAATTCAATTCTATCCTTCATTCATCAAAAAATTGAGAGAAGGGAAACAGTGTATATTGAGGATTAATTTGTCATAAGTTTTGATCATCGGTGATTTTCATACTAGATGCCAATCACCAATACAACTGGGTTTTCTTTTGGTTAACCAAGTGGGTCAGTGGCTAGTACATGTTTTTGTTGTTGAAATGGATTTTATTGGTCGCTTTTATGCGTTCTGTTACTGAGGTCTAATGGAATTGATTTTTTTTATATACACTGTGCAGGAATGTTTATTCCTACTTATTCTTTTTTATTATTTAACTATTGAATATGAATATATTTCATAAAACTGTTCTGTCAAAGTAGGTAAATCTAATTTGTGTTTTGTTTCTTCAGGTTGGGCACCAAATTGTGGTCAGCTATGCAGAATGCATGGGAGTGCCATTGTTTCGAAGGCGAATACAAGGATCCACAAGGCAAGATCATATTTGTCAATATTACAGTTTTCTCTTTGCATGGTGCTGAATAAGTGAAAAATACTGAGGACCTGTTCGTTTCATCTTAACTCTTATCTCTTACGAGAAATCTTTTAACTTTAAGAGAAAAATGGTTGTTTTTTCCTCTTATCTCTTATTTCTTAAAGTGCAATAATACAACTTTTTGTTTTCCAATGATACCCCCAAAAAGACAAACAAAAGCTCTCATATATGGGTCAAAATGGATATTTGATAATTTTCAGAATTCAGAATTCAGAACTCAGAACTATATTCTCTGCATTCAGAGTTCAGAGTAAAGAAAAGTTCACCAATACCAATATACCTCTTAATGTAATTATTGCACTTTCAGATGTCAGACTTCAGAGCAAACGAACAGGTCCTGAGTTAATTATTTATTCTGATTATCATTTAAAAAAAAAAGGTTTGTTCTAGTCATTATACTTTATGCGAACAATTTACATGTAAGATCTACTTTCTTTTTCTTCCAATATTGAACTTTATGGTTTTGATAACTAACTTTTTGTTGCACATAAGTTTAGGTGATTGTCTTTTACCATATTTTTTATTAGTCTATAATATCATGATACAGTTTAAATGCCCTGTACAAGACAAATCTCCCCTTCTGAGATTTGATTGGACTAGTGGCAATCTAATCAATCATGACCAAATGAAGCATGGCTAGTTCATGGTTACAACTTTCAACTACATAAAAAACTTGTTCCAGTTTTTCCCTAATGAAAACATTTGGAATTTGGAGGATTTAAAATATTTTTGTTTCTCAAAAATCTAAATTTCAAAACTATAAAATCTAGATATTTTGTCTTTTAATTAATAAACATCAATGGCTTTTGAAATAGTCCTGATTCTTAACCCAACCTAATTTAGCTAAACATCATTGCAAAATTTTGGTATATGCTACACGAACCTTGTCTCCTGTCCAACTTTATCTAAAGCCATACCCTCTTGTAGATCATATAAGTCCTCAGGCCTTTCCTCACTACATAAACCCATGCCTTTATGGCTTTCTACTCGTCCTACTTAGATGTTCCAGTTTGTTGAGAAAGAAATCATCATACTGTTTTAGTAGATAAAAAGAAAAAAAGAAAACACATTTTCTTTTGGCCCACTACGGTAAAAATTTAAAGCACGAGGAGTCCAAATTCCAAAGATTTTTTTTTTTTTTTAACATTATTGTTCCCTTTTTTATAATGTTCATATGTGTCTTGAGACTTAAAAAGATAAAATCATGTTGCATGAATTTCCAATGTGTTTAAGTCCCTTAATTTTCATGCCCTTGTTGGAACTACCAGCCTAATTAATTTCTTTGAGGTCTTCTTGCATCCACTAACATTGACATTGGTTATGTGTTTTATTTGTTAAAATGGTGTTATCAACTCAACAAAGCCATACCCCAACTATTGATATACAAATCTGTAGCAAATATAGCACTAGGATTTTGCATGAAATTTCATCAATATATGATATACACAGCAGTGATTTAAAAATCACGCCTAGATGCACAGGCAAGGCGCATTTCAAGGTCTGTGCCTTGTCTAGGCCCAGGCACAACCCCTTTAAAAGGCACACACCTGGTGTGCTTTGGCATGTGCCAGGTGCACCTTGCTCCTAAGTTAAAGTCTCCATATCTGTACTTAATTCTAGAAGTCATACCTGTACAAGTGCATCATAGCATTGCTAACAAAAGTGATAGTTCTTACACTAAAATGTTGTTGCAGCTTATTTGGAGACAGAATATTGGTATATTAATCATGAATTGACTAAGGATATAAATGATGCTACTATTATGCCTAGCTACATAGTTGCAATTCATAAAATACACAGGCTGTAACATGTTACCAAGAGGGAGTGAGATTCATAGTTGTCAAGGCAATGCCTAGGTGACAGGGCACCAATAGAAGGTTGCCTTGCTTAAGCGCTTAGCCATTTTGTGTATGGCGCTGTGTTTTTTTACATTCTCTATCATTTGAGATTATAATAATAAAATAGAAGTAATGGGTGCTGCTAGGAGCCTTTTGATAATGTGGGAGAATGATTTTGTTGAATGTGGAGAAGAATTATATCTTTGAGACTTAAGAATAGAGATGATGGCTTTGAATGGGTCTTAATCAATGTGTATGGACTTTTTTTTACAAAGATAAAACAATTTTGGGCAGAACTATACTATATACATGGACTTTGGGATGGTCCTTGGGTGATAGGAGGGGACGTTAATGTGATTTGATTTTGTCATGAGAAAAAAATGAGAATATTACAATTAATCTGAGTATGAGGAAGTTTGGGAGATAAATTAATGAATATGTGCTGAAACATGTCCAACTCCTGAATGTGAGATATACTTGGTCTAATATGCAAAGAAGCCATCTGTTGCAGATTGGAAAGAGCATTGGGGGAACACACATGTGTTGGCCTTGGTCAGACTGGTGTTAGACTACTACTCAATCCTAATGGAACTAAGATAATATGCAATTGGCATTGGGGAATTCACACATGGCTTCTGCACCCTTATTTCATTAGGGAGATGAAGGGATGACTAAGTGAACCCTGGATTGATGGATGGAAAGGTTTTAGGTTCATGCAAGAGCTAAAGGCAACAAAGAGTCATTTGAGGATATGGAATTAGGAGACTTTGGGAATCCTAGATGAAAAAAAAAGGTTCAATTGGAAAAAGGGCAAGGCTTAATGGAGGATATGGTGAGCAATAGAAAAGAATGGAAGGAGTTAGAAGAAGTTATCAGATATGGGGAAATTGACTGGAGGTAGAGAAATCAAGATGTCAATGATTGGAGGAGGGAGATGGAAATACAAGTTTTTTTTTTTCATAATTTGGCAAATAGGAGAAAAAGGCAAAATTTGATAGTGAGACTACTGCATGAAGGATGAGAAGTCAAGGGGCAAGAGGAGATTGGAGATTTATTATTGGGAGTATTTCAAGAGGTTATATGGTTCAACTGTGCACCCAAGACCCACAATAAAGGGAATTCATTGGAGGATGATAAGTCAAGAGCAAAGACAATGGGTAGAGAGATATTTCATAGAGGAACATGCCAATCCAGGTGGTATGGGTTAGGAAATCTGCCAACAGCTTGGCACATAGCTTAGCAAAGCAAGGGGTTCAAAGAACACATGTTTTGGGCACATTTGTAATTCTGTTCCAGGTCAGCTTACTAAAGCCAGCTTCTTTCACAACTTCTTGTTGTATCCTATAGTTTTCTAATTAATGAAATCTTTTCGGAGTTACTGATAAAAAAAGATCTTTCATAGAGGAAGAAATTAAGAAGGCTATTTTTTATATGAATAAAAGACAAAGCATGGGGACCAGATGAATTTACTATGGCCTTTTATCAAGAATGTTGGGAAGTTATTAAGGTGGATTTGATGAAGGTATTTGGAGAGTTTCATCAAAGAGGACCCATTAGTAGAGGAATGGATGCTGCATTCATATCTTTGATGCCTAAGAATCTAGGGTGGATGTACTAGGTGACTTCAAACCAATAAGTTTTGTGACGAGTTTGTACAAAATAATAGCTAAGGTTCTATTCAACAAACTTAGAGAAATCATTGATGAGATAGTGACCCCTACTCAAGGTGCTTTTATAGAAGATAGACAAATTGTAGATCAAATATTGGTGGCAAATAAAATAATTAATGATATAAGAAGCACAAGAAAAAGGCAGTTTGTGTATAAGTTAACCTCCAGAAAGCATATGACCATGTTGATTGGATGTTTCTTAAAGGATTGTTCAATAAGATGGGTTTTGGAGCACAATGGATCAGATGGATTATGGAACGTGTGTCCTCATTCCTCAAAACATTTGACCCTCAAAGGTTTCATTAAAGCAACTGAAGGATTGAGGCAAGAGCATCCTCTCTCCCCCATAATATTTATTTTGGTGTTAGAACTCTGAAGTTTTTTGCTTCAAAGAGTGGATGAGAGGGGATTGATAAGAGGATTTTGGGTGAGAAGCGAGGAAAAAAGTGGTATCTCATTTGCAGTTTGCAGATGATACCATTATTTTTGCCAAGATTAGTGTGATGAAAGATATCCTAAACCTAAAGGTAATCGTTGAGATAGTGGACAGGGTGTCAGGGCTGAAGGTGAATTTATCAAAATGTAGGTTAATGGGGATAAATCTTGAGCATGGAGAGTTGGAGCAATGTGAGAGAATGCCTAGGTGCAAGAGGGTTGTGTGGCCTATATCTTACATTGTGGAAGCCCTAGAAAGAGGGAGTTTTGGAATAAGGTAGTGAAGAGGCTGAGTAAGAACTTGAAACCAAGGTTTAAAATGTCGATGTTGATGGAAATGTCGCTTACCAAAATATAGGACATATGTTGGAAATTTTGGAAATGTCGAGGGGAAATATTGTAAAAATTAGAGACATTGTGGAAATATGCAATGATATTTTGTAAAATGATAAAAGAAGCATTAATACATATTTCTAGACTATTATCTTATTCCCAACCATTATATAAAGCTAAGAAACTAAGATCAATAACAAATTAGTAAATGACGATTTA